AGACAAACCTGAAAATGTGCGAAATCGACCCCCCTCACCTGAAAGACCATTACTCCACACCGTAACGCTTGGAGGAGAACCACACGAGGAGGTTTTCATACTTTCGAGTTAGCCCGACTGCATACTGAGGCAGACAAACGCCAACGCCGGAAAGATGCGGCTGCCGCCCCTCCCGCACTCTATGTAGCCCTCCACACGTGCACCATCTGTGTACGACCCTGCCGGTCCCGTAGCGGCCTCTATAGTCACCTGAGAGCGCACCAATGGTAGATGACGTCCTTAATAACTCTTATCATTGTATCATAGCTGGATGATCGTCATAGTCGATTCCGAGTGAAAGCAAAGTAGTAGGTGTGTGTGTGTGTGTGTAATAATAATAAATAATAATAATAAACGGTTTATTAATAGAGTTGCAGCCGGTGGCTGAAAATATACAGACTTACATTTAATTTAGACATAATGATATAATATGCATTGAATACATTTACAGGGCTGTGCAGTACATAAATCAGGAGTTGTTTATTATTTTAACAATAGATGGGATGGTGCTGTTCTTATACCTATCGGTGCGGGCTCTTATGGGCTGAATTTTGTTGTAGTGGCGGACTGGCGAGTTGGGTGGGGGGCTGCAGGTGGCAGGAGGTGGCGATGGCGAGGGTGGTGCAGTAGTCCACGGCCAAACCTTTCCAGTGCTTGGTGGTGGAGGTCACTGAGGGATGGCATTTCCAGGGTGGAGAGAGCGTTGGTGTAGCCGGAGTATTCTGCGCTGAGCATGATTCTGCAGGCCCTTTTCTGTACCTTCTCTAGCTGACGTTGTTGGGTGGAGTTGAGAGAAGACGACCAGGCTGGTGATGCATACGTTAGTTTGGGGAGAATAAAGGCGTTGTAGATGGTCCTCAGCTCTGGCGTGGGTGTCCCAAGTGACCTAAGTCTTCGTAGCATGTAGAGACGGTACGAGGCTGCCTTGACTGTGTTATTTACATGGGCCTTCCAGTCAAGTTTGTTGTCTATAGTTACACCCAGGAGTTTGGCAGACTGCACCAGCTGGAGAGGATGGGCACCCACTGTGACTGCTGGGGCTTGCACTGGAGTGGTGGCGGTATTGATGTGCATGACTACGGTTTTGGTGTGGTTGATGGTGACCTTGTTCTCCGTAGTCCATGCCTGTAGCCTGTCCAGGGTGCCTTGGAGCGATGAGTAGTCTGGTGCGGTGTTGTCCACTGAAACCCCCACAGTGCAGTCATCCACGTACTTCCACCTGTGAGGAGTGTCCGATAGAGCGTCGTTGATCAGGATGAGGAAGCACAGTGGTCCCGGACATCTTGGTCTCCTGGGGAACACCGCAGGTGAGGTGTTGGTGTGTGTGTGTGTGTGTGTGTGTGTGTGTGTGTGTGTGTGTGTGCGTGTGTAGCAGTGAAAGTGGCACACATTCAGAGGTTTGAGGCACTAACAAATAACAATGCGAAACTTCTTAAATTTCTGAATACGTCAGCTGTTTTGTGATGTAATCAATAACAGTAACGACACAAGGTGACTGATATCATATGGGTAAGGCACCAAGACAAAGGTTACAATCTATCTCTGAGTTTAGCAGAGGCAAGGGTGTAATAAAAGAGTATTATTTTCTTTATTTTATTTCTTATATCTATTTATTCACTTACTTTTAAGATTTATTAACTTCTGTTTCTCTTCTTCATTCTTTAATTCTCTTTTCTTCTTTTTTCTTTTTCTTTTCTACTTTCTTGGTTCTTTATATCAATGAGAGGGGGGAAGGTAAGGCGGGAGCGAGGGAGGCTGTAAGGACGGCCGGTTTGTGGTCAGGCCGCCTCCTTCACTCCTAGGGGGAGGGAGGAGAGGGAGGAAGAATAGAAGTTGAAGAGAATAATTGTAGGTGTAAGTATATCATGCACAAATTTAGGGAAGATATGTGAACGTTATTCTGTTACTCATGGGGTCACTGTATCACTTAATAACACAAAGACACTTAATAGGAATATTTTACTCAATGCACAAGGGAAGGGGACTGAGAGCTACTCTAAACGGTTTTTCATTTATTAACGACGTTATTTAGGATGTACAGTTACACTTTCTCCTAGCTAGTTAAAGGGGGGTCACATGAATCACAATACATTTCGTGAAATGGATAAAACCTTAAGTGTACTTATAAATATCTCGCCATGTTGCACCTGCCGAACCACACACCTCTACACCAAAACACTTTCAAACGCAGACTCCAATCTTGACTGACTTAAAAGAAAGACGCCTTATGGAAGGCCACATGCTCATGACGTCAAGTCTCACAGGCTCTCCTTATTGGTTCAGGCCATAGGCACTCACAGTGTCATTGGTCAGTTTGAGCAGGAACACTTGGGCAGGTCTTTTTGGCGGGAATTTATGTATGTTTTCTCTAAAGCATGATATAATTTACGTTAAAATCATGGCACTGTTACAGAGGTGAGGGGTAGCAGAGGTGAGGGGTAGAAGAGGTGAGGGGTAGGAGAGGTGAGAGGTAGCAGAGGTGAGGGGTAGAACAGAGGTGAGGGGGTAGAGCAGAGGTGAGGGGGTAGAGTAGAGGTCAGGAGATAGAGCAGAGGTGAGGAAATAGAGCAGAGGTGAAGGGGTAGAGCAGAGGTGAGGGGTAGAGCAGAGGTGAGGGGTAGAGCAGAGGTGAGGGGGTAGAGTAGAGGTCATGAGGCAGAGCAGAGGTGAGGGAGTAAAGTAGAGGTCAGGAGGTAGAGCAGAGGTGAATGGGTAGAACAGAGGTGAGGGGGTAGAGTAGAGGATGGGGTACATTAGAGGCCGGGGTACAACAGAGACCGGGGTACTCCAGAGCCCAGGGGTACATAGAGGCCGTGGGTATTTCAGGGGCCGCCTTGGTGTGGGAGGTAGCCAATAATTACAGCGATTCTGTTGCCTTCTGGAAAGGGACCAAGCGACTGATGGGTTCCACCTCTAACACGGTCCCTTACCTGCTCGACCAAAACAACGTGAAAATATTCGAGGAGGAAAACCAAGAACAAGTACATCGGCGATATTTGTGAAAGATCTTCACCATTAATGAACAGGAGAACGAGGGCTTCGACAGGGAGTTTGAAGAGGACATTTTAGGTCAGTTGCAGGACAATCAGCACCTGCTCTAGCCGCTCCCACGGACTGACTTCACTAGACTGGTGGACGAAAGCTATATGACGGAGCGCATAGTTCCTGCATATGTGCCAGCCGTCATAAAAGGGTTTAAAAACAAGTCACCTGGGCAAAGCCATGTCAACAAGACGATCCTGGCCCAATTCCCGACAACATGATGGAGAAGCTTGCTCATATATGCAACTAGCGGAATCGCCGCCCTCCGGGCGGCTCTTTAGCTAGGCCACAGTAGGACGCCACCTTCCGGGAGGCTCCACATTGTCTCACTGTAGTGCATTAAGGTAGACCACATTTTTGGTTTTGCCATGAGCAGCAAGTATGTACAGATTTTTGCCAGTTCCCATTCTGGAGCATCCAACATAGGCCTGTCCATGAGAGAAGCAAGGAAACACCAGGTTTAGGCCAACCATCTTTAGGGACTGTCCCTGGCTTTTGTAGATGGTCATGGCAAAGCTCACTTTAACCGGGAACTGAAGTCGCTTGAACTCAAATGGCAGGTCAGTGGTGATGAGAGGTATCCTTGGTATAAAAAAGTCCTCTCCTTTAGCTTTTCCTGTCAGTATTATAGCTTCCAGTACATGTGGCATCATGTTCTTCTTGTGAGCGACTCGTCTCTCATTTTGAGTATGATGTCTCGTTTCTCAAACTCTTGACCGACAATCAGGATGGCTACTTCATCAACTACAGGAGCATTGAATCTTCTTTCATGTTCTCCCTTAGGGGTCATGCCTGCTTTGATCCTGACTTTGTACTCGTCAGAAGGCATGTTTTCCAGGGCATTTTTAAATGACTGTACATACGTGTTGCGCTCATGCAGAATTTCTTGGATAGATAGGACAATGTCATGTCTGACACCTTGAATATTGCCACACCTGATAGTAGTCTGCTTTTCATGATCTCCCATGAAGTAGATTTGGAGGAACTTTGCCTGCTCATCTTCCAGTGGTAAGAGAGATCCTGCTTTGTGATAGACTTGACCCTGGACTTTGAATGTTGGTATGTATCCGTGCTCACGAACTACTCTGGTAGCTCCAAAGGATGTCATCTGGAAGCATGAATTGTACTTCAGTAAATTTTCCAAGAAGTGTTTTGACTCTGGTGTTGTTCCCAGCATAAGAGTCTATCAATGGTTGTGGTGGTTTTTCCAAATTTGGCAGTCGTACTTTCCCATGAGAGCAGCACAGTCCAGCAGATTCTCCTTTATACTTCTTTGCACCGCAGTGTTCACATTTCTTATCCATGTTGCCAATGACAACAGAGGGATACTTTTCATATTCTATCTCATTGTCATAGTTAAATGCTGCTCTTACAAGTGGATGCCACTGTGTATTCTTTCTTAGAATTCTGGATCCCGCAGCTCTCTGTCTATTAGCATTCAAACGAATTTCATGCGCTTGATCATTTTCTAGAGAAGGCCTTTCTGCTGTTTGCTATCTGTCAGCATTAAGATGGGATTCCCTTTCCTGATCTGTTTCCTGTGACCGACTGTCCGCTGTTCGCTCTCCCTGAGCATTAAGACGGGGGTACATCAGAGGCCAGGGGTACAGAGGCCGGGATACAGTAGAGGCCGGGGGTACAGTAGAGGCCGGGGGTACAGTAGAGGCCGGCGGTAGATCAGAGACCGGGATACATCAGAGACCTGGGTTACACCAGAGGCAGGGGTACAGTAGAGGCCGGGGGTACTTCAGAGTCCGGAGGTACAGTTGAAGCCGAGGGTACACCAGAGGACTGGGTACGCCAGGCACCGGGGGTACAGTAGAGGCCGGTGGTACAGTAGAGGACTGGGGTACACCAGAGACGGGGGTACAGCAGAGGTCGGGGGTATCAGGAGGGGAGGGCAGTTACTGAGGGGTTACATCAGAGCCGGGGTTACAGAGGTCCAGAGGCCGGGGTACATCAGAAGCCGGGGGTGTATGAGAGACCGGAGGTGCATCAGAGGCCAAGAGTACATCAGAGTCCGGGAGTACATCAGAGGCCGGGGGTACATCAGAGGCCAGGGGTACTTCAGAGGCCGGGGGTACACCAGAAGCCGAGGGTGGAGGAGTCATAATACATCACCTTCAGGTAAGTGGATATCAGGTTTCTTTTGAGGCTTGATCGTGAGGGAGGAGAAGAGGTGAGGGGAATGGGGCGAAAGGGAAGAGAGAGGGAAGGGTAGAAGTGAGTGTAATGACAAGACAAAGGGGGAGAAGGGGGTAAAGAGGCGAGGGAGGAGGGAGGAAGGTTAGAGGTAAAGGGAAGTGGAGGAAAAGGAGATGTGTGTAATAAGGACAAGGAAGAAGGGGGGAATAAGAGAAAAGAAAAGATGAATAGAACAAGGGTAAGGGAAGGGATATGGGGAAGGAGGGATGGGAAGTGATAGGGGCGCAAAGTTTAGGGGAAGAGGCAAAAGTTTAGGTAACGGGGGAAGATGGGGAAGGAGGGATGACGAGGTGATGGGGACGCAAGATTTAGGGGGAAGTGGGAAAAGTTTAGTTAGGGGGGTGAGATCCGGAAGGAGGGATGGGGAGGTGATGAGGAAGAAGGAAGGATGAGGTGAGGCTGAGGGAGGAAGTAATAGTAGAGTCAGTCGAGAATTTAGTGTATCGAAAATCACCCGGGAGAGAGAGAGAGAGAGAGAGAGAGAGAGAGAGAGAGAGAGAGAGCATCCAAATGTACGTACCTGAATTATACGCAATAAAATGGTAACATTAAGAAAGATGTAAACGAAAATAATAACTCAGGTATATCAAAAGATGTCAATAAATAATTTAGTTTATTAACACAGTATAAAACAAAAGGTCCCCTATAAACAATGTACACACACACACACACACACACACACACACACACACACACACACACACACTAATCCAATAGACACAAAAATCCACACTACATCCGGTAAATACATTATACAAGCACTATAATTTCTACACAAATACATCATACCAACTCTATATTATTACACAACACGCTATAAAACCCCTAATAATAGCCTCATCAGTCATAAAGTGATTAGAGTGGACGTATGATTAAGAAATTTATGACTACTACAATTAGGTAAATTAGAAGGAGAGAGTTGCATGATAACAGACGCCGGCCTTTATGTGTGTGTGTGTGTGTGTGTGTGTGTGTGTGTGTGTGTGTGTGTGTGTGTGTGTGTGTGTGAGCGTGTGTAAATAATAATTATAATTAATATTAATAATATTTAACGGTTTACTGAAAGAGCATGGCACCAGAAGGTCTGAAAATATACAGTTACATAAATGAGGATGGGTCACTTGATTGACAAATAATATATAGGTAACATAAGTGATACAAATATAATAAATAGGTGGGGAGAAGTTTATACTACAGGGCATTTCAACATAGTGACAGTGCAAGGTAAGAGTAAGTGGGAGTGAATACACTGGTTGATTACGAGTTGTTGTTGATTTTTGCAATGGTTGGGACTCGGCTGTTCTTTTTAACGATCAGTACGTGCTCGTATGGGCTGGATGTCAGTTGTGGTGTCGAACAGCAATTCGCGGACGAAGGATCTCGGGTGGGAGAAGGAGCCAGTGTCGAGGATGGTGCAGAAGCTTCTCACCAAATTTGCAGATGAGGTCGTGGTGATGATTAGAGAGAACTGAGAGGGACATTGTGTTGAGCGGTTCTTGATATGTGGAGTAGGAGGGAGAGAGAATAATCTTGCATGCACTCTTTTGCACTTTTTCTAGGTGTTTCCGTTGTGTGGCATTTACGGAGGAAGACCAGGCAGTGGACGCATAGGTGACCTTGGAACTTGGAAAGTATGAATGTTGAGGAAACACTGAGGAGCTCGGGCGCAGGAACTCCGAGGGACTGGAGTCGGCGGAGGAAGTGGAGACGAAAACAGGAGGACTTGACAATTTTACTGACGTGTGGTTTCCAATTTAGTTTGTTATCTATAGTGACGCCGAGGAGATTAGTGGAGTCCACAATCTGGAGTGTGTTGGGGCCTAAATTAAATGAAGGGAGGTGGGACAAGGTCGGAGGAGAGGTTGATGTGCATAACCATGGTCTTGGTATGGTTGATTGTGATGTGGTTGTTGGTGGGCCAATTTTGGAGAGTTTTCATAAATCCTGGAGGGAGTTGTAGTGGGGAGCCAAGTTGTTGACACTGATCCCAATGGTGGTGTCGTCGACATATTTCCAGCGAGCAAATGTTCCTCTTAGGGTATCATTGATAAGCATAAAGAAGCAGAAGCGGTCCCATCTTGGTGCCTTAAAGGACGCCACAGGTGAGTGCCTCAAAAGTGGAGACAGCCCCTCGGAAGCGTACAGCTTGGCGTCGGTCACTATGACTTCTTAGAAACCCGAGGTCGATAGCTCTTTGTTCATGATTAAATATTGGTCGACTAGGTCAAATTCTTTGGTGGAGTCAATAAAGGTGACAGCCACAGACGTCTTTCGTTTTTCCAGATGGCGGTATATGTAGTCGAGAAAGCTGACAAGACAGTGAATGGGGGAGGAAGTTTTCATATTGCCAAATTCCTGAGGATCTATGGCGCCTGCATAAGCCTAGTCAAATACGAAACTTTCTCAGATTAAGCAGGGTATTGGGGTGATGGCAATGGGTCGCAGCTCATTTAAAGATTGTGGGCTAGTTGACTTGGGCACTGGTGAAACATATGAATTCTTCCAGTAAGCTGGGCATCTTACTTGGCTGAGGGAAGCATTGGTGATGGAGCAGAGGGGTTTAACTAGTTCCGGGGAGAACTTTAGCTTCAGTTTGTCCGGACGTTTTGCTACTTCAAATTCTTTCACTAAGTCAGTGAAAAAGGGGGCTGGTAGGTAAGTAGGAAGGCTGGCTGTGTCAAGCCGGGGGAGCGTCTGGCATATAGTTGCGAAATGATTGTTTGATTGCTCAGTTGCGTCACCATTAGTGAGATGGCTAAGGAAGGGGAAGGGGTGTGTCTTATTGTTTTCAATTTTTCAATTTCAATATTTATTCTTTGATACAGGAAGCGGGATCCTAGTGCTGTCAATAAGAAAACCCGTAGGACGTGACGTCATGAAGAGGTGGCGTCCCTCAGCTCCCTTTGTGGCTGACGCATTTTGAAAAAGTCTAGTCTGGTTTTGGACAGAGTTAAGTGTGGGAGTGTGGGTGTCGTCTCCTCACATGGCGGGGTATAACTTTAGTACCTATTAGGCTTAACCGTTTCACGAAATGTATTGTGATTCAGGTGACCTCTGGTTAGCAAACTAGAAAGATAGGCTATTGTTTTTGAAGTGTAACTGTTCATTTTGAGTAACGTCATTAATAACGAAGAACCGTTATGACTAGTTCTCAATTCCTTGTGTTGACTAAAACATTGTCACGCATGTCTTTGGTATTATGTAATGATATAGTGAGCCATAAGAAATAACATAGCCTAACGCCTGGTATCCCTGTTCCCCCAGTTATCACCGGTTATGCCATTATTCCCCAGTTATTCTCTCTCCCTCCCTCACTCTCTCCCCTCATTTCAGCTTACCGTCTACTGTACAGTAGTCCTCACCATATCCACCTTCCTTAACACCCCTCAGCCAGCCTCTACCCAAAACCGTCCCCAATTCACAAGTATACAAGTATAACGAACACAGAAGGAAAGAGAATTAGATAATAAAGAAAGATTAAAAGTAAGTAAAAGAAATATAAGAAGTAAAAGAGAAGTAAACTCAGGGTGTGTTGGCGTCAGTTTCTACACCTTAAACAGATTCACACCTAGATAGCCCATGGGCTTGCCTTCCTTCGTTACACGAGGGCAACCATTATTTTGTCAAGTGAAAGGTGTGGAGGTGTGTTACGCCGTCTCTTAATTTACTTTAATATCCAGGTTCTAGGCGTAACCAAACAAAAAAAAGGGGATAAAATAAAGTAAACCCTTAAGAATTTAATTAAATTAAATACTAACACAATAAAGAGCCTCGTAGGCTGTCACAACAAATTGATTCACTATCGAAACTTTTAAGACACAAATGATACTAAAACATCGAAATATCAAAAGAACTGCTTAAACATATAGAATAAAAATAAAGCACTGGATTACGTTAACACTGCATAAACATATAAAATAACTAACACTGAAATTAACTATCGAGAAACAACACTGAATTACTTAAATGTAACCAAGCAAGCACTGATGGACACATAAGAGACATGAATAGGTTCTCACATAGATATACCACATTGGTGGCGACAGGAACAACACAGAAATAAAATAAAGTATAAGTAGCAGGTGACAAGTGTCACTCAAAAGAACATGGACTGAATGACAGGAGAACTGGACGGAACTCCGTCTGCTGGTGGGTACTATATATAAGGTCTGCTCCCGCCAGTGTGACAAGCAGGTGAAACATGGGTCGTTTAACGATGCAGATGGTCGTTAGAGAAACAAAGAATGCTTGTTGCAATACTAAATGAAGAAATAAGATGGGCTTGAACAAATAATAACAGTTAAAACCTTGACAGCACAGGGTAAGGTGACTAGAATATATAATAGTAAATATAACACATCATTACAGGAATAATATGGAACAACATTGAAGCATGTTATAAAAAATAATAGAAAAATACGACACGGTCGTAACATTTGTCATGTGTGTATGTCAGGTGGAAGGTGTGGAGGTGTGTCACGTGTGGATATCAGGTGGAATGTGTGGACGTACCATGTGTGTATATCAAGTGGAAGGTGTGGAGGTGTCACGTGTGTCAAGTACTGGGTGTGAAGGAGTAGTATGTGTTAAGTGAAGTGTGCAGAAGCGGGAGAGTGAAAGAAAATGCTTGGAAATATTTTTTTTTCATGAAGTTAGACTAAGATTGAACAGGAAGGGAGACGACACGACTGATAAATTAGCTGAAGTAGAAAAGAGAACAATTTAGAAAGAGAGAGATACCAAAATATCTACATAGTCTGTAATTTTATGTTTTTGTTTTACTTCGAGATCATATAAGTTATTTTATCTGAATGTGATGCATGTTAATGCAATAGATAATAACGGGATGGGCACTGTGTTTAACTTTAAGTGTTTAACCCTGTACTTAATTTTGCTTCATTGTGTATTTTTATCATTGAGTGTTGTTATCATAACTACATTTAACTTCACTGGTCAACTTGAATTTGTTACATTTGATTACCGGCATCTGTTTTTTTTTTATCTTAATACAGACGTGTTTCGTTTCTCTAAACTGTGTTGTATCTTTTTCTATAGATTCTTTTGACGACGGTTACTGGAATAACCGAAATATATATTGTATATCATTGAAATTCCACTGTAGACGATAAAGCACTGAAAAGCGAGATCACTGTATATTTTGCCCGCAACCTATAGCAATACACTGGAATTTCAGTGTTATGATTTTCGTGGTATTACATAATTTCTTCTATTTCTTGTTGTTTTGTTTACATCGCCATACATAAAAATGTGAGTCCGCAGACAAGGTGCCGCTTTTTAAGGAAATTCAGTCGTCTTTCCCCTTGTCTGGCTCTGAATCTCAATTTTCTGCATCAAAACAAACTTTTCACGGCAAATCCTGGACACAACGGATTTAATTATTAAGAGCCAAAGAGGAAATCTCAAAATTGTTGAAAGTCTTTGTAAAACCCATGAGTATTTATCAAAAAAATCATTATTATTTTTATTATTATTATTATTATTATTATTATTATTATTATTATTATTATTATTATTATTATTATTATTATTATTATTATTATTATTATTATTATTAGTATTATTATTATTATTATTATTATTATTGTGTTTTAAACTTACAGTATTTACTGTACTATCATAAGTTCACAAGCACAGTTCACAAAACGTCAAGTGAGGCAATGTATGGGAGATTCGCCTCTATGTGGTGGGTGTGTACAGGAATGTGCAGACGCCCAGAACAGCAGGATGTTTATGCAGCAGCATCTTTTACAGCAAGGAGGGACGGAGGAAAGGGGAGAATAAGCGTATGAAATATAGACAGATAACGGGATCTTCGCTCTTGATAACCACAATAAGGCGTCGACTGAGCCAGCAAGGCCACATGATGTCGCTTTCATGGGCCCTCTATCATACAAGGTGTCTGGTGGGATCTTCTGGATGCATGGTTGCAGGTACTGAGATGTGAAGTGAACCCCACGTCTATGGGCTCCTTCAAAGTGAACGACATATTGGAAAGAGATCAGCAGATAGATAGGAAGGTAGGTGGATGGCTCGCCTGCCGCTGGGACTGATGGTAATGAGATCCTTTTTCTTTCTCTCCCCGTTCCAGTGATGGTGTGTTGGTGGCTGGCGTGGGCGGTGCTGCTGGTGGGTACAGTGAGGGCATTCTGTCCTTCCGGGTGTTCCTGTGATGATGACGGGCCGAGCGCTCGCTGTGTGGGCGTGGGAATCAACGTTGTCCCCATCCTCTTTAACCCAGGTCTACGGCGTCTCAACCTGGCCCACAACACCATCGACTCTGTTGGTCATTCTCTTGTCTTCTTCGACCACCTCGAGGAGCTGGACTTCTCACACAACCACCTAGCCAACCTGGGCACTAGTAACTTCGTCGAGCAAGTGAGGCTGCGAGAGCTACGCCTTAGTCACAACAACCTGACCACGTTGGCCGCTGGGGCGCTAATGGGCCTCACCTCCCTCGCTCTGCTCGATCTCAGTCACAATAGCCTGCCGGAGCTTCCCGCCGTTGTTCTTACAGATGTTCCAGACCTCAAAGTGCTTTTATTAGCCCACAATAAACTCCACTCACTCCCTCAGCACTCCTTTCGTAGTTGCAAAGGCCTTCACGTCCTCGACTTGTGTGACAACTACTTCAGGCACGTGCCTACATCTGCCCTGGAAGACCTAGGAGCACTTAAGACTTTACATCTCTGTCGCAACCGTCTTACACGACTGGAGTCCAACGCTTTCCGCACGGACACCCTCGTGACACTCTCCCTGGAAACTAACAGCATCGACATCATTGCCGATACTGCATTCCACCGCCTCCAGGGATTACTGAAGCTGAACCTCAATGACAACTTACTGAGGGAGGTGCCGTCGTTGGCACTCGCGTCGCTACTCATGTTGGACTCACTCTACATCAGCAGAAACAAACTGAAGAGCCTTGATGGCGGCGCCTTCAGGAGTCTGGGACACCTGACTACACTAGAGATCTCGCGGTGTCCCCACCTGTCGTCGCTACACCCCGGGGCCCTCACACATTGTGTCAACCTGCGCAAGCTGACACTCTCTCACAATCCCTTAGTAAGACATTTACCCCGGGGCTTTCTAACTTCTCTGCCCCGCCTTCTCTCCCTCGACCTTCGCGGCAACGGCCTCCAGAGTTTGCCGGTGACGGAGGTGACGTGGAGGTCGCTGGCGAACCTAGACCTGAGGGGCAACCCGATGGTGTGTAACTGTTCCGTACAGTGGCTGGCGGAGCTACTTAGTGCCTCCAACACTTCCCTGACCGCTCCAGACCTTCAGTGTGCTTCCCCGCAGAAGGTCAGAGGCCTCTACCTCTCCAGGTAAGTCCTGATCTAATTTTTAGGCTTCATTGCAGAAATCATCTGCCGAGAGACTTAAATGGCCCTCTTTAGTTTCTTTATTATTACAACATGAAACAAATTTCTTGTCAAAATAATGCCTATGTCCTCTAGGTCTAGAGTACCATATTGAAAACCAGGGTAAACTTACGAAAACTATACAGAACTTCCTCTGAAAACGTCACGTTATCGGTAAACAAATGTTAAGTGCGAGGGTCTACGGACAAGAACATTCACGACCAACGCTACACGCACAAACCCAGCCTTTCCACACAAAACAGAAGCTGGATTTATGTTGTTGGATAGCATCATAAATGTTTTACGCCTATAGGCTCCACTAACAAAGTTTTCCTAAGTTTACACTTGTTGCATATCATACATGCCCGTCAATACACAGCCCTTGACGTGTGGCACTACCTGGTCCTTGTCGTGTGGCGCTACTTAGTCCTTGACGTGTGGCGCTACTTAGTCCTTGGCTTGTGGCACTACCTGGCCCTTGACGCGTGGCACTACCTGGCCCTTGTCGTTTGGCACTACCTGGCCAGTTTCCTGTGGCGCTACTTAGTCCTTGACGTGTGGCGCTACTTAGTCCTTGGCGTGTGAAACTACCTGGCCTTTGTCGTGTGGCGCTACCTGGTCGTTGTCTTGTGACACTACCTGGCCTTCAAGCACCTGGAGTAACCTCAAAAACGTGCAGAGATGAGTCACTTGAATGTGATCTCAAACAAAAAGGAGAAAAAATACTCTTTATCCAACCGGACGACCGCAAGTCCGACCGACAGGGAGCTCCTCCGTTCTCACATCTTCAACAGGCAGGCAGCTCCTGCGTCCTCACAACTTCAACAAGTGGACCGACAAGCAGGCAGCTCCTGCGTCCCCACAACTTCAATAAGTGAACCGACGGGCAGGCAGCTCCTGCGTTTCCACAACTTCAACAAGTGGACCGACAGTTAGTTAGGCAGCTCCTCCGTTTCCACACTTCGTCTGTGTGCAGCCCCACCCAACCAGCAGGTGCATCTCTCTCTCCGTATCTGCCTGTGCCTGCACTGAGGCTTGCCTACCTCACCTTGTCTGGTTCGCGATTCTCGTGCTCGAACTGCCAATCGAAACTTCTCTCATTACATTAGTAAACCTTCGAAACTACAGGGGGGGGATGTGAGTGCATGAAAACCAGAGGGGTAGATAGAGAGAGTTTGGCCATCCAGAACACAGGCGCGATGTTGTTACTCAGCGGGTGTGAAGTCTTCTCGGGCTGTCTCCCACATAATGATCAGATTTATTATTAATAAAATCTTTTTAAATGGAAAAGCCTTTATTAAAGAGAAGGTCCTCATATTATTAACAAATTGATAATTACGGTATATATAGTATACTGTTTTGTATACTGTACACAGAAGTAAATCCATATTAATCAATAAGTCATGCCTGCAAAGTTTTGTTGAACATAATTTTAAGGCGAATAAATTTTTGAATAGAAAGTCAGTTATATGAAGAGCAAAATGGATTTAGACTGGGAAAAGGAGCAAGAGAGGCTATATATATGGTTTGGGAATTTTTAGTGAAAGGGCTTTCGAGGTCCAAAGTAATTTATACATCTGCTTTGTTGATTTTGAAAAGCTTTTGATAAAGTAAAGCACAATAAAATTATAAACATTTTGGGGGAAAAAGGGCATCAATGAAGGAGATATTAGAATTGTAAAGAATTTTTACTGGCAACAGGAGGCTGCAGTGTAAGTAATTAATGAATAGGAAACTGTATATTCCTACCTTATATAATACTCACATTGACTAAATTCATGCTGACCTGTATAGCTACATAGTTTATACGCATGCTTATCCAGCTGTAAACATGTATAACACTTTTGCTCAATAAACATCATCAACATCATCATTCTCTACAGTACGAACGCAAACTTCTTCATCAGCTGAGTAACAACATGGTGCCCTCATGTCACGGGACCGGCTCAGCCAATCAGGTTCGATCACCGAGTTGACCGAACTCTCTCTATCTACGGCTCTGTTGACAACTACCCCAAATCATCTTTGAATTTGTGAAAAGTACATCGAAAGTACCAAAAAATGAAGAGTGGACATTTTTTAACCGGACAGTCAGTGAGGAATTGAAGATGACCGCCAAGACATTGCGATATTTCCCTTTTTTTATATCTCCACTTTTACTCAATATTGGAACATGATTTTGGCGACAAAACATCGGTTTTTCATGAGTAACGATTGCATATATGCCAAATGAATGCATGTAGATTCACTTCAAACATGTTTTCTGGTTGACTCATTTAGCCTCATGAACAGGCGAGAAAAAAAAAAAATATTTGAAACCATTTCAGTGGCCTCCAGTTCAAACCACCCTTCTAGTGGATGTTTGGCATATATCAGACAACTTCCTTTAAAGGACCTAAGGACATTTGGAGATATGTATGGTAGCTTTCTTGACCGGATTGAAAAACTGGCAATTCGTGCAAATCGCAGTGATTTTGTAATGGATACATACTTGTACATGGAAGTGTCGGTAAAAGAAAGTGAAAGAGTCCAATCGAGATGAACATATTGCACTGGCTAATTTCTGGGCTTCACCCAGCAACAAAGTCAAACTTTTGAAACTTCTAATGCAGTGCATCATCCATTGTGTTGATGCCAAGTTTGCAAATGTAGATATTATCATCAGTGGGGCAGGCATTTCAGGTTAAACTGACAAAGAACCTTGCCAGCTGATTAGAAATGGAAGCATCCAGACACTTCCAGAGCTTCGTAAGGATATTGAGGAAGCAAACCTGCGCTTGATTTCACATGCATTACATGCAACAATGAAAGGGACAGAAGGAATCATTGTGTTGTCAAATGAAGTATGTTGTTGTGTTATTTGCATATTTCTGGTGTCTACTACATGCACATGGGTTTTTACAGTTATGGATGAGAGGTAGACTTTGGATACAACAATATTCATTCTTGTGCAAACTAATGCAACAAACATGGGATCGATTTTGTGCAAAATTTTCCCTGCCATGTTCAGAATAACAGGAGGTGATTCCACAAGTAAATTTGGTACAAAGGCAGCTGCAGTCAAAAGGTCAGATCTAAGTTAATATCTCTTAGAGTTTGATGTGGACCCAGATGATATAGACTTTGACAGGATAGAGAAACACCTTGTGCAGCTACTGAAACCGGGCGCTGAGATCAGTAACATGGATGAATTAAGATACTAGTTCTATATAATTAGTGATGAAAAGCTGTATTGAATTTCAACTGGCTGTTCAGTTTCAGAAAAAGGTGAAAGCAGAGTTGTCACAGTTTATTGATATTGGCCAGAAGTGGTGTGATGAGTTCGTAACAGACTGTTTTAATGATGCTAGTAGATTTGCAAAACCATTACCACGGCGTAGAGTGAAGAATTTTGCAACAGAGGGAATAAAAGGTAAATTAACTGGGAAAGATATGAAGATCCAAGAGATACAACCAACAAGAGACCCATTTGAAAGGTTATCATACCTAGCCACAAAAATTGATAATGATCTTCCTAAAGTTTTGAGTTGCCCTATCACCCCTGTACCTGCATCTCTGGCACATCTTAATGGATTGATCAATAAAGCAGGAAAGTCTGTACAGTACTCCTAAAGGCTCTTGAAACGAAAGAAAACAGTCAGACACCTTCCACAGTCGATGCTTGTGTTATAGATGCAACATTTCTCATCAGATTTTTGTCGGATCTCCCTGCTGCATGTTGCGGGATGGGTGAAGTCCTGCTGTCAAAGTTGTGTGCTCATGCTAGATGTGTGGACTTTGTGTGTGATGCTTGTACAAGTCCATCAATCAAAGACAATGAACGACACATGCGTGATGCAACTGAGGTCAACATTGTTATTGCTGGACCTGAACAGAAACGATAAAAAAACTTCAGTCAAGCACTGTCATTCGGTCTATTCAAGACATCACTCTTCAAATTCCTTGCAGCTGAATGGGAAAAGGACACCTACAAAGAAATGTTGGACGGTCATGAAATCTATCTAGCACTAGAAGAAGAGTGTTATAAATGTGAAGTAAAAAGAATATCAGTGTTTCAGCAGATTGTACCTGAACTTTGTTGTCAGAATTAGGAAGCAGACACACGAGTTGTTTTGCATGTGAACCATATCAAAGAAACCATGACAGATGCCCAGGTTAGTCATAGAGCAAATGACACAGATATATTAGTGATCCTCCTTTACCGTGTTGCAAAGGGGACTGGTACTACCAAAGTTTGGATGGACCTTGGATTTAGCAGCAACAACTCTCATGTATATATACATATATTTCATGTAGATCCACAATGGAAACGTGGATAAGAAAAATTTTGATAAAATCACGCAGGAAAAGGGGAAACAATGGAGCACCTCGCTAGTCAGGAATCGAAGCTTGGACCTTTGCGTGTGAACAGGGGTCGCTACCACCGCGCCACAGGAAGAACAAAAGCAATCCTTGGCTTCGTTATATTCCACACAAAGTCTGTTCATCGTGGTTGTTAAGCACGATGTTTGTATATGGAAGTCCGCGTGCTATATGGACTGATGAGATATAATAATAATAATAATAATAATAATAATAATAATAATAATAATAATTAACGGTTTATTGAAAAAGTTCTGCAGCCCGAAGGCTGAAAATATACATTGGACATAAATGATTTATTACATACATTGGTGGCTTAACAAAAGCCTTCATTAGAGAAAGGTAAAGGAACATACAGTGAACATACAGATTAATGTAGGATTGTACGTGTTGAACAGCAAACACGTAGTGTAGTAACTCCCTCCCAGATGGTGTTAGGATGAACCTCACGTGATGTAGTAGTTCCCTCAGATGGTGTTATGAGGGACCTGACGTAGTGTAGTAATTCCCTCGCAGATGGTGTTATGAGGGACCACGTGGTGTAGTAATTCCCTCACAGATGGTGTTATGGGGGACCTCACGTGGTGTAATTACCTCACAGA